GCCTACAGTATTTTTAGTCTTTATTTTACAGTTAAAATAAATGTTTATCAAATAAAGTCTAATGTTACAACTAATCACGGATCCCTTTAAGATTTTTCAGTAAACAGTTGTTTGTTTTCCTGTTAATAATGTTGCTGCACTGATCTGACATTTCCTTCCTACAGATGTCTCCAGATTCTGCTGCCCACCAGATGGAGGGGCTGTCATTAACCAATAAGTACAAGAGAATGTAAGAACCTGTTGGTTTCTGTCTCACATTTGTGTTGTTTCTGCAAATCAAAGTAGATTTTAGTCATTAAAAAGATTGAGTTAAAAGCCTGTCTGCCCCCTCCTCAGATCCTACGACAAAAAGGCTCCTCCAGTCAGCATGTCCAAGCTGCTCAGTCATGGCTACGTAGAGGAGAAGAAGAAATCTCCCAATGATGACGATGCCTCAAGTATGAAATTTATCAACACAGAATCATGTTTTAAAATCTACAGTACAAATATCTTAATAGTTATGTAACAAGTTTTCTTTATATTATCATGAATATTTTATTATTTGGGGTGCTTCTAATTATTTAAAGCCCTCTATTCAGTGTGAAGTTATTGTTCAAGATACAGCTTCAGTGATTTTTAAAAAAACAAGTTTTAGGTACACTGGTTTAAATTTATTGTGGATTTTTATTTAGTAAAATTCATACAGACTAAAATAAATATTAAGTGGTGCTGTAGGCTCTAGAAGTCCTTTACTTTGACAAATATGAGCCTGTTGGCATCTCATTGGTGTTTGTGATTGATCACAGCTGGTAGTTTTTCTTTTTCAACACAAATTGTTTGACAACATTAATCAAAATGATTAATATTTAGAATATTGGATAATTAGTGAATTATTAAATATTAATAGAGAAATACTTGATTGTCAGAAAATGCAAAGATAGTTATTTGCCCACCACAGTGGCAGGAAGTGTGTTTTGCACAGACAATGGTTGTGTCGCAATTCATGGGTTGCAGCTGACGTAGGGAGCATTTGTCTGCCTCTTGCGTCACTGCACCACGCCGTTGGCTTCGACTAATGTGACCAACAAAACCCCAAAAATGTAGGCTGCATCAAAGGACTCTATGTGGTTGATGGTATCCCAGAATTCTTTGCGTTGTCAACAAATAAACAGGAAAACGAAGGCAACGGAGGATTTAAAGAGATTTTACATCAGTTTTTAATTTTTTTTATTTTTACGGCGAAGTTGGAAATTTATCACGGACCGAAGAATTTGTTTTTAAATGTAAGTTCAGCAACTTTGCTGATGAAATTTTTGCTGCAATGAGATGTTAAATACAATGCAGTCACATGTACTGATACTGGAGCTAAACCCAAATTATGAATGCTTTTTATTTATTTATTTGTAACTAATAATTCTTAATTTTGTGAAGTTATGTTGTGGAAAAAAACCAACTGAAAGCGTGTGATATAAAATGGATCACCATGCTAACAGGGCAGCACATGGTCTTGCAAACATAGGTCTTCTGAAGACTAGACCATCTCATTTACCAGTTGTGTATGCAGCTGACATGAGCGGCCTACGCTCTGCAACCCATGAATTGAGACGAGCCACTGAGGCTTTCAGAATAAGGAACTCTGTACCAACTCTCAGGCATAGTGTTGATAGCATCATGGTGTGGTACTAGGGCGTAAAGTTGATGTAATAAAGGTCTACCTCCCAAATTATTCAACTTCAACTAGACAGTTGAAATTTAAACACAGTTTGGTGTTCCAGAAGAACACTGGGCCTCATGCAAGAACATGTTTGTATTCTTATCCTAAATTTCTCTTACTTTTGTTCGTACAAAGGGTTCATACGAACATGTCACGTCAGATTCAACAAACTCTTCTATCTTCAGGAAAAGTGTGTAAATGAGCTGCGTAAATTCCACCTGTTCGTATCCAGCTGCTCATGCACGCAAGAGGAGATTAGCATAATCACCACGCCAAAAACACCATATAAGGCTGTGTTTCCTGCCTCAGACACAAGGAAGTG